TTGACAAGATCGGAGTTAGCATACAGGAATGAAGTGCGATTTTTCAATGAAGCGATTTGTCAAGCCGCGATTATCTAGATTATTATTGCCAGATTCCAAATCAGATGAAACGAACGAGTGGGGATAAACCCATTTCATCTAGGCTTAATCGATGCCAACTAATCTAGATGAGAGTTTTTGAAATGTTTCAAATTAAGCGATGAACCGGAAAATAGTAATTCCGATTGAATATGAATGAATGGTTATTTGGAGTGAATGTATGAACTATTGTTGGTGTTCATCAAAAATTACTGATGTTTTCACTCATTTTCGAGCTGTCAAATTATCGTGCTCATTAATTCATAAACTATTCATCGATTGATGCAAATGAACGATGAGTTTTTAATGGGATGAGTATAGAATATGAGTGATGAAATTTGCAGTGAACAAACCTCATATTTGAAGAAGAATAAACCAAAGAGGAGAGTGTAGAAGTCGGCAGTTAAAATGGAAAGATTGAACATTAATGCTGATGCTTTTTGCATGACAACAGCAACCAACGAGTAGAACACGAACATTGAGGCAGCAAACAGGAGGTACAGCCCAATGATGGCACCTGACCAACGAACCCTGGCTAGTTCATTATGTTCCAGTGCGGCTCTTAAACTCATTACTTATCACTGAAGATCTCAACATCATCAGCAAATCATTTTATGCAGAATTTCATGGTGACATCAGCCGAGTGCCGAATTGTATTCAAAGAAACTGGCACAATTGATCAAATAAGATGATTTTGTGCATTTTTTGCCGCATCCATAAGCATTAATTTATGGATGTCATCATACAGATGTGACATTAGAAATAACAACAACAATGATGATGATAAAGTTTCGGTGGGGCAACTCGATTGTCAGACGTAAATAACTTACAACTGAATGCCAGAAATGATTGAACCGAACAGTCCAATCATACCCAAATATTCAGTCCGACTGGTTTGTTTTATGAAGAACTCTTCACCGACATTGCCAGTCGCATACAGTAATGAGCCTATCACACAAAATATATCACCAAGTAAACGATTCGATCCTGAACATTTCAAAATTTTATCGTGGAAATTCATGGAAACTGAACCAAGTACGGCTGATTGATGCCTATCATATTATATGAGAGGACATTGGCTTGAAGCAATCAAACGATTGAGAACAAGATTCTAATGATAGTGATAACAGGAATTTGCGAAGAGTTATCAGAGAAATGAAGATAGGAATGGCTGAAAGGTGTGACTGACCTCCAGGTATTCCCTTACCCTCGAGGACATCCGCCCAAATAAGTATGGCAATTCCGACGAGGCATATGCACACACCAACGATATGGGTTAAGAGGTAACGTACTGATAAGAACAACCACGACAATAATAGCACCATTGGAATGGTCGAACAATCTAACAGCTAAATTCAGCCTGATTATACGATCAAAATTGATCTGGGTAGAGATGATGAGATCGTATCTCGAAAACTGGAAGGAACTGAGCTAACAAGGGAGATGAGTCGATATAACTGTATGATTACTCTTCAAGAATATCGACTGAATCTGATAATGGTAATAATGGAAATCCTGAGAATTCAATCGAAGGACTGAACGACTGAGCTAAATTCGAAATTGAGATGAAATGATGACTGAGTGAAAAGAAAAGCAAAACAAAACCTGAATGCTTGTTAAATTAGTGAATTGATATGCGTAAACAATGAAATAATTCGCTTCAACATCGATCAGCGACAACACAAAATATTTCCATCCTCTTTTCCTAATAACTGGTAATAACGAGTTATCACCAGTTTTGAACACCAAGATCGTTCCGTAAAATGAACACAAGAAAAAATAGTTCAAAAAACTTTGCGCTGAAATAAGAAAAAACACCTTTCATTAAAGCGATTACATCGGATTGTTGCAATAAGAAAAGATATTCGAGCACTACGATTCATATGATTCAGTTTTGGATGGTCTTGCATAAAATACTCTTCGCGAAGATATAAACGATAAAATCATTCAAAGAGATACAAGTTGCTCTAAATATTATATCCATTTTTCGTTGGAGTTTACTGAATGAATTCAAAATATTCCATTATGAATTGACGTAATTCATGATGAGATGAGATTTAAAAACGTTTCGCTGAATAATTTTGCGACATCCCACAAAACATTAAAGTATATCAAAAGTCCCGTCCAGTATGAGCAAAATAATGAAGTCAATTGAAAAGTTGATCGAAACAAGCAGAACAAAACAAATTTGGAGTTATTCAGATGACTGACCGGCAGGAGTGTTCACATTATGATCAGTCAATAACTGACTTGTAACACCGGTCCCACAAAGGCACAATGATAAAATTTGGCCAAGCACCACTATTCGGAATGTCCTTCTGAAAAACACCACGAAAATATTGCTAATCTTTTTCAGTTATTTATAAAACTGCACAAATTCACTTCTTCCCAACCGGATGGTTTCGAAAACAGAAACTTTGAATCAACTGCAACACTGCAACAAATGATTTTTCGGTCCGTTAAGCAGGATATCAATTGTTTACAGTCGTCAGGATGCTCAGTAAAGACAACTTAATCTGCTCACGCATGAAAAACATTGAATCTTTCATCGTATATGCATCCGTATGCATTTTATGAAAGAATATCAACAAGATCAATCAGTTTTCATATGGGGCAATCACAGGTATACGTTTAAATTGAAGCGATTGAACTGATGCTGATGAGGAATCAGTTTTGAAACGATTCAATCAGTATGCAAGGCGATATCCAACTAAACTTCTAGTTTCAAACCCAGAACGACACGGTGAAGACTAATCAAACAATTAATTTAGTAGGAGGCAGCAAAAATCTAATAAGGTGAATATTCGATGAAATGGGTAACAAATCCACCTGAAAGTATCATTGCCGAAACACGGTGAACAATCAACGCCTTCCTCTTCGTCATTANTTGCCGATGTTGCGTCGAGCGGGTGCTGCAGCAGCAGTAGTGACCAGTTGAGGCGTTACTGCACCGACGGTGCTCGACGAAGGCAACATTGTTCTGGGTGGTTGCATTAGAGGCTGAGGTTGAGCGGAACTTCGTAGCACTCGCATTGCGGCTGGACTTTGCCCGATTGCCGACGGTTGTTGCAGTAGTTGATGACGATGC